TTGCGGTCTCTGTGTGACGTCTGGTTTGGTGTTTGTCCCTTGTCCTGGAGCTGAGCCCCGTGAAGGGAGGGATGTCTTCTGGTCCAGCCCAGCATTGTTTGGAGCCAGCCTGCCTGGCACGTAGTCGGCCTGGGAACTATGAATGTACCACGCGGGGAATGGATAAGTTACGTTAAAACCTTCCAGAACAGGATGGAAGGGGATAGAAAGTTCCAGAAGACTTCCTGGTGCGCCACAGTGCCCGGGGGCCCCCGGCTAAAGGAGTCGGTCGAGTTTGCCGGCAACGTGCGCTGCGATGATGTCATCGCTGGTGTGAGATCTGGGACTTTGCGTGCCTCTCTGAGGAAGTCCCTTAGCAATGCACCCAGTTCTGCTCCCAGAGCCCAGCGCTGAGGTCCCAGGGCGTCAGGAAACGGCATTCATCAACGCGCACTGAGCTGTAAGCCCCTGTTCCAGGGACAGACGTATTTTTAGACTTTTTGACGTCCAAATTCCAGAGGAAGGGCCAGTAACGCTTAGAGGAAGATTGGCTTTCTTCCGGCACCAAGCAAATCAGGCCTGGGGCGCCCTTTTATTGGTCTGGCCGTTAAGTCGCTGGAACATTCCAAAGAAGGGTAAAGCTCTTGCACGCGGAATGAAGCGGGTGGAGAGCACAGAGGGAGGGATGTGGGTAAATTGGGGCAGCTTTGGAGATTGGATTCTTTCTCCTTAAATGGAAACGGTTCAAGATTGTTTCCTGATTATACAAGTAATGTTTACTGTAGAAGAAATCCAGGCGATACCAAAAGTGACAACCGCGTAAAAAAGCTCGAATTCTCCCTCCAGGGCGTAAGCCCCGTTGGCATTTTGGTGTGTGTGTGCCCCGGCAATCCCGTGAAAACAGGTGTACTCACATTTTTTTTTTCTCTTCATGGTGTTTATTCACAGTGTGTAAAAGATGTTTTATGGAGATGAAAGTCATGTCACGTGAAACAAACCATTTTTTTTGTTTTTTTTTTTTTAACGTTTATTTATTTTTTTTGAGACAGAGACAGACAGAGCATGAACGGGGGAGGGGCAGAGAGAGAGGGAGACACAGAACCGGAAGCAGGCTCCAGGCTCCGAGCCCTCAGCCCAGAGCCCGACGCGGGACTCGAACTCCCGAACTGTGAGATCGTGACCTGAGCCGAGATCAAGAGTCGGACGCTTAACCGGCTGAGCCACCCGGGCGCCCCCTGTGTCCTCTTTTCAAAGGCCTCTGTTGTGTTCCGCAGTACAGATGTGCCATTCTGTCTTCATCCGGCCTCCTTTGGTTGGACACGAGGCTGCTGGCTTCAGGAGAATCCACACTTGAACTTGAAGAATGGCGCTTTCCACCAAAAGGGGCCAGAATCGGTATTTCCTTAACCCGCTTCCTGGGGGCACCAGCAGTAGAATGGCCCCGCAAATCCCCAGGGGCCTCCGGAACTGTCTCCCAGAGGAGTGAAAAAAACCATAACCACCTCGTGGGAAATCTTAAAGGGGAGGCGTTTTTATCCGAGTAGGACACACCGCCCTGGAGAGTTCTTGTCTGGGCCGTTCCGTAAATGTGCGTCCAGCAGCTGTTTGGAAACAGACTTGCAATACAGCCCCTTCGCAGGCCTGGAAATAAAAGCTGGAAATCACGGGTTGCCCTGGGGTTTTCGCGAAGGATGTTGTCATTCTGGGGTGAGCCGCCTCGTCTGTCCGAGCGATTTGACGTGCCATTATTTTCTTTTCGGCCGAGGGGCTCTGGAGGGCCGGGCAGACTGGGGTTGCAAAGGGTGGAGCCTGGGACGAGTTCTTTCCAGAATCTGTGCCCGGGGGAGGCAGTTCTCTGACTGTGTCCTGAGCTGGGGCTGGCGCACCGGAGGCGGGCAGGGGTGGGGACGTGGGACGGGGAGGCGGGGAAGCCCCAGACTCAGACAGACCCGACAACAAGAACAGGAAGCCTAATTCCAAGAGGCTGGAAGGTGCCTGCGCAACCTCGTCGGCTCCCACCACAAACGCCGGCAGCACACGCGCCTCCTGCGCCCGTTTTGCCGAGGAGGAAAACAGAGGCTGAAATAAGTCCGTGGCTTTCCTGCGTGATCACAGAGCTACAGGATTCAAACCCAGACTTGTCTAGTGCGTTAGTTCCCTGCCGAACTCAGCCTGAGCAGTTTACGAG